GAGGAGGAAGCCTCTCGATGGCATCTTGCGGCACTCTTGGGGGGAAACAGGGCCGTCGTCCAGATGCTTCTTTGGGAGGCCCTGGGGTCTGTTGAGAGGCCGTTCGGGGGCGCCTGGGAGACATTTTTGAAGCCTTGTAGGGCCTCTTTTGAGCCTCCTTGGAGCCTCCTGGGGTCTCTTGTGTGGGGGCCTCTTGGCGGCATCTTGGGCCATCTTGGGGGCCTCTCGGGGCCTCCTGGGGCCCTCTTGGGGCGGAAGGTTTGAGGTTTTGGCTCGTGGTCCCCATCTTGGGCCCCTCTTGGGCCCGTGTTGGGGCTCTCTTGGGCCGTCTTGGGCGTCTCTTGGGCCGTCTCGGGGCCCGTTTGGGCTCTCTGGGGGCCTTCTTGGGGGCCTCTTGAGCCGTTTTCGTGCGCTCTTGGGGGCCTCTTGGGGCGCCTTGGAGCATCGGAAAGCCGAAAATGCGACAAGGCCAAAATCCTTCCAAAACCATCGTAAAATTTATGATTTTGGCCTCTCGGGGCGCTCTTGTGAGGCCTCTTGGAGCCCACTTGGAGCGTCTTGGCGGCTTCTTGGGCCGTCTTGGGATCATCTTCGGCGTCTTGGAGCGTCCTTTGGGCGTTTCGGCCCTCTTGGCGCGCTCTGGGGGGCCTGAGAGGCCGTACCCAGGAGGAAAACCATCTCTGAGTAGACCTTCCCGAGCTGCGGTCGGGGTACTTTTCGCCGGGGGACCCCCAGGGGCCGCCCCGCGCGCGCGAACTAGAAATATTGTTACGTAGTTACCGGAGATCTTAGCACGCCTCTGGCCCGTTGGGCCGGCGAATTTGTGTGTCCCAGGGCCCCTTCTATATACAGAGGACTGTGAGAGACCTGAGGACACTCCACACACGGCCTCGCGGCACGGTGGTGGATACTCATTGTTCTGGTTGTTGTGTTAAGAATCAGAGACGATCCAGCGAACACCGTCTAGTATCAAAGAACCATCGCGCATCCTCGCAATTGTGGCAAATGTTCAGGACGAGCGCGCGCGTCGCTAAGGCGATATCCCCATTTGGATCAGGAACGGCCACCCCATCCTTGTGGCGATGGCAATTTCTGAAGTTGAATGTGCGCGGCGCTCCAGCGGGAGTCCCGTTCCGAAGAAGAACCCCCTTCCATTTTCGAATTTGTTGCAGTTCTGACGACGGGTTCACGCGGCGCTAAGGCGACAACCCCGCTTTGAAAATCTCCCCCCTTCATCAATGAATTGTTGCGAATCTCAGGCTTCGGCACCTCAAATCGCGAGGGAGTGTCAGGCGGAGCGCCCGGCGCCCCACCGACACGTCCGAGGGTGTGACAGGAAGGAGCTGCTCAGGAGGAAAAGAGTTTTGGAGGAGCCGGAGGAACAAGAGGAGGAGGCGGCGGCACGTAAACAGGATCAACATGGCGTTTTCCTCCTGATGTTGGGTTTTAGTCACCCGTCACTGTGAGCTGCGCGCCCGGCGACGCCAGGCGCGGGTCCCCACCAGCGGAGGCATGTGCAGCGGGTCGGGCGGTTGCCAGCGGGATTGGCGCCGCGCTAAGGTTACGTAGGGGCTTTTCGGGGCGAGCCAGACTTCCCCAGAGTGAACTGTTAGAGAGCAGTTGAGCCCGTCCGATGCGTTGTTATTTGATATCGTTGGCGTCATTTCTGCGCATCGCATACCCCTGCACAGAACTGCACATCTTAATCGACACGAGCACGTGTTCACACAAGTTTGCCCAGCAATTCTTGTCCACGCCATGCGCTCAGGGGGCTCCTAAACGCACGGCCACCAAGAAATACAGTTCTTGTTTCACCCCTCGCGCACTCTGGCACGAACCCAATGGGCTCTGCATGCGGCGAAGGGCCCAGGGGGCGCGTAGCCCAGAGGGGCCCCGCAGAGGGATCAGTGGGCTCCACGAGCACTGGCGAGGCCCTAGTCGTCCCAATCGTCCTCGTCGTCGTCCTCCTCGCGGCCCTCCTCCTCCTCGCCCTCCGCTGCCGAGGCGAGGCTGGAGGGCTTCCTGAGCGAGGCGCAGCAGCAGAAGGCCTGCGGCGCCGCCGCGGTTGTGGGTGGGGGTTCCGCGCAAGGCCGAGCAAGTCTAGCCCCGCTCGGAGATTCGGGCTGCTGGCGTTCAACGCGTACTCTGGATTGTTTATGTTTGGGCCCCAGAGGCCAGGATATTTCCAAGCAGCCATCCATCAGCTGACATGTAATGGGGTTGAGCGCAAACGGGGCTCAGCCAGAGCGACGTGTCCTGCGGGATCCTGCAACACAGTCAACCCGCATAGTAATGATGAGCAATTTTCCAAGGTTACCCTTGCATCCTTTCCGGTCGGCCCACCCATCCCGTTCTTAGCCGCTTCGCTGGCCGCGCCCCGCTCGCAAAGTGTCGACATGGCCTTCCAAGGCCCTTGCATCGTTACTATACGGGTTGACTGTACCAGACTTGGGCCGAGCTGGGCTTGTAGCCGCTCGCGGCATTGGAGGTGGCCTCACATATTGGCTGAGCGGGTGATGGGAAACTTTTAGAATATTGCAGCGCAGTTTTGTCTGCATGGGTTGAGCCAGGTCTGCGCTGAGCCAGGTTCGTCCACGTCCGAGACGAAGACTTTGCCAAGTCCACTTGCAGAGAACGAAAAGGTGGGGATGCCTCAACCCACGGGCTGCGGTTCTCCTGGTGAGCGGGCGTCCTGGCTTATCAGAGTCACTTGTCTGCGGGGCCCTGGGCGGCAGTGGGGTAATATCGCTGGGAGCGGGGAGGATTTCGGATGGGGTTGTCTAGGGCGGGGTGCGGAAGAGTTGCGTCGCCTTGGAGTCGGTCGGAAGGCGGAGTGGCTTGGGTGGGGGTGCTCATCGGACAATCCAGCGTATCGCTCGGACCGGGTAGCATTTCATGAGCGCCATCTCTTCTGTTGGCCGTTTGATTGGAGTGGAGTGCAGAAGAGGATCTGGCTAGCACCTAGAAGCGCTGGGGCGCAGGAAAACGGGATGATTTTAAGAGGAAGAGTTGCGCCCAAGATTGAGGCGCTCTCAGCGTGACATACAGCCAACACGTTGAAAGCAGGAAGTACTTCGGTTCTCGCTGTTCCTTCGGTCCTTAGCTGGTTGCTCATCAAGCGCCCCTCGCGCAACAGGGCGCTTTTGAGGCCGAAAAGGGCTTCTGTTCCTTATTCAGCGTTCCTCATGGTAGCAGCTTGACTGGAGGAGGAGGGGGGAAAGGAAAGAAAACGATGAGGACGGGGACGATGAGGATCTGGGCCAGGAGGAGGGGCCCTCCTCCTCACCCTCCTCGAAAGAGGCCGGCGTTCCCCGCCAACAGGGCCCTAACTCTGCTTCTGGAGCTGGTGAGACCCCAACTCTTTTCAGTCTCGTAGCCGTGGGAGACGTTGGGTCCGATAGCTCTTTGCTTTGCTTTGCTCCAAAGAGGCCTCGGGGGGGGGGAGAAGTCCCCGCAGAGGTACGCGGGGCCTCCCCGCGGAGGCCTCGGGAGGTGCTCAGGAGGAGTCCGAAGGCACACGTACGCGAAGAGCCCAAAGCCTAGATCGTTCTGCTCTCGGCGGCGCGGTCGGTGCCTCCCCGTCCCTCCGCCGCCCTGCGCCTCCGTTCCTCCTTTCCTCCCCCCCTGCCCTCCTGCCCCCGCCCCCCTCCCCCGAGTCCGCAGTCCTCGGCATCGTTCTTGCTCCGGCACAGTACAGGAAGGGAACGCGGTCTTTCGCCATAGGGAAAGCGGGTTCTCAGAGAAACGGGTCCTGGGGGTTGTTCGCCGTTCTTGGCTTCCCGTGGCCCTTCACGGGCCTGGGGACTGTCAGAAGGCGGCTCAGGATGAAGAATCCGTCTTGGGGGAAGGACCCGGGGTCAAGGACCCGTTTCCCTCAGGATCCGTTTCCCCCATGCCAATTTGTCTTGGTTTGGCGGCGGTCTTTCTTGGCGTGACAGGCAGTGGTGAAGCGACGTATATTTGCCACGTGAGCTCTGCGACTGCAATCTTGATTCTTTTCTGCGGCGGCTGGGACAGACGCCTCCTTTGCCGTCGCGCGAGCACTGCAGCCGATGCATCGTAGACTCACGATAATGATACGCTCCAAGACTTCAATGGTGTCAAGAGTTCCCATGGTTCCGCGCGGGCACCAGAAGGGCCGCCAGGTACGCCTGAGCTCCTGAGCTCCTGGATCATGGCATCGCTTTCGTCCTACAGCCGGACCGAGGTATAAGGTCGAGGTCGGTTTGGGGAGGGCACCCTCGTGTTCTTCGTGCTTCTCGGATGCTCCTGTGCGTCCCGGGGAGGGTACCCTCGGATGTCTTGTCTGTGCTCTGGCGAGCGGAGGGCCTCGTGTCCTTGAAGGATGTCGTGCCCGCCCAGGCCCGACAGGATTCCTCCTCCTCGCCTCTCCTCCTGCCAGAAGTGGCCCTGTCGACGCGCCTCCTTGGCGCTCCTCGTCCTCCCTGGGCCTCCATGGACTCCCAGAGGCTTCCCGTCGCCACGGCCGGAGCCGCTTCAGGGGAGCGGGCCACGGCGGACCCTGGGAGGGGTCCAGGGATTGAGCGGACTGGCGCCAGGCGGGAGCGTCAGATGAGGCCAGGACGAGGTCAACATCGGGCGAGGGTAGACCGAGAATCTCTGAGATCTCCGGCGGCTCTGGAGGGTGTCTCGGGCGCCGCGGCCGTTCTAGAGCGTTCGGGAATGCTCTTGAACGGACGTATTCTCGTCCTAGCCCCGTGCTAGAGAGCCGCGGTATTGTGCGTGTCGCGCATTGTTTCACCGAGTGCCGCATGGCACGGCGTGAGGGCATAGAAGTTGGCGGAGCACTAATCTCGGCTTGACCGTCTACATTACCGCCGCCCCCTAACACCCCCGAACCCCCGCCGCGGTATTTGGGCCAGACTTGTCTCACTGGCCTTCCTCCGATCTTGCAGGAGGAGGAGCCCCACACACGCCACCGTCGCATGCCGAAGAGGCCAGCAGGCAGCTGCTGAAGCTGCAGCCGAGCCCCGCCGTGCATGGTCAGGCCTTGGGGCAGCCCACGTCGTCGCCGCCGCCGCTGCCGCCGTCGTCGTCTTGAAGCTGCTGCTGCTGTTGCGCCATCCTTTCTCCTTTCTCCTTGGTGAAAAGCTCCTCCCTGTTTCACCTGCAAACGTGCCAGTAGGGCGGGCCGGGCGTTTCGCCCGAGACTTCCTCACCATCCATAATCCTGAAGCTTGAGGTGTGCAACAGCTGAAAGGATGGAGGGCGGTGGTCTTCAAAGTGTAGGTGTAGCTTTAGCCTCAGCTCCGTACACAGTCGCCTTAAAAGTTACCCACAGCTTCAAGGATGGAGAGCGGGTGGATTTCAAAATGTGGATCTCGCTTTTGTGCCACGCGCTGTCGTTGTAAACGTTTGCAACAAGTTCAAGAATGAAGAGCGGGTGGATTGCAAAATGTGGATCTCGCCTTGGCGCCGCGCACATTCGTCCGAGAAGGTTGCAGCAATTTCAGGGACGCAGGGCGGCTCCTTTTCAAAATGTGGCTCTCGCCTTAGCGCCGCGCACATGTTCCTGCAAAGTGTGCAACACGGTCCTGTGCTCGTATGGCTGAAGTTCCAGCAAAGGTGCCTGGCGCGATTCAGGATGGTTAGGACGCAGCAGTAACGTTGACTCGCTGCGTCGAAGTTCCAGGAATGGTGTTCTGGCACGATTCAGGAATGTCAGAATGCAACCGTCAGTTGTATTCTCGGCGTTGAAGCTCCAGGAATTGTGTGTTGCTACGATTGGGGATCCTCACATTGTTGCCGTTCAATGAGCCACTTCCCGCTATGAACAGATCATTGCACGGACTTGGGAAGAGGGAATTTTGAGGGAATGACTATTTCAACATCGCTGAGTCGCCGTGGGTTCATAGTGGTCTTCCTCCTCCTCCGCCTCATCCTCCTCGTCCTGCTCATCGTTTCCTTCTCCTCCTCCTCCTCCTCCTCATCATCATCATCATCATCATTCTTGTCTCTCCCTCCTGTCCCCTTCGTCCTCGTCGTCGTCGACCTCCTCTTACTGCTCCTCGCCCCTCTCTCCGCGGGAGCGGGCGTGGGGGGAGGAGGCAGGGAAAGTGGGAGGAAGGAGGGGGTGAGGGAGCCAGGGGGCAGGACAGAAGGGAGGAGGTGATGAGGAGAGACAGCAGGGGAGGAGAGAGGAGAGGTGAAGGAACAAGCTAAGTGCGAGTGCGCCATACTCGTTTTGACATCCCCCCCCCCGGCCACCCCTTCCCATTGCGCTGCCTGTGTCTCAGTACGCCGACGGGTGTCCTTGCGGGCCTGGTTCTAACAAAGTATTCACTCCATTGTATGACACGCAGTTAGAATGGGGAGGTGTTTACATTCGGGGAGAAGGTGGCGGATGAGCAGGAGGATCAGGAGCAGTAGCAGGTGCAGGAGTAGGAGGAGCGGGAGGAGCAGGAGAACCAGGGGAATGCTGATGATCGGAAATGAAGGGGGCGACAACGATGAGGCGGGACTGTGATCCAGAAGGGTTGCCCGCGCTGGGGCGAGAGCGCAATCCTGAACGACGGGCGCAAAGCGCAGCAGCGGAAAACCATTTACACAAAGAAGGCAACACACGGAAATCAGCACATGTACCATTCCATGTCTTAACATCTTGTGAACAAAAAACTGAACACTAAAGAGACGGGGCCTGGAAAATACATGCTCAGGGGACAAGGGGTAGTGGCATTCAAATCCAGCTGCAAGCGGCAAGCAAAATACGCCGCCTTGCCTGTTCGGGCGGCGCACAGGAGGCCGTCACGTGTGGCAGTTCGTGTCCCGAATTTTGGAGAGCCGTGACATGTGACTCACTCTTGCGCGTCGTGTCGAGTGTTCTCTTCTCGTATGTGTGGCCTTCACTGTTCCGTCCTTCCTCAGGCTTTTGTGGGGCAATCTCGGGGATCCCAGGATGCCTTGGGTAAATTCGGGGCTGTCGTGGGGCCCTTTAGGATCGTCTTCGGGCTCTCTTGGGCCGTGTTGGAGCCTTCTTGCCGTCTTGGGGATCTCTCGCGGCCGTCTTTGGGCCGTATTGGGTCGTCGAGGGCTTTTCTAAGGCAGTCTCGTGACCTTCCAGAAGCCCTTTTGGGGTTCTTGGGGCCGTCCTGGGCCATCGAGGGGCCCTCTTGAATGTTGTTTGCTTATCCTCTCGCGCGTAACGGTCGTACGAAGGGGGGGCTTGGACCCCGTTCCGTCCGGCGATACATCGGCGATGCGGCGCGATCTTCCGACACAAGAAAGAGCGCATTCTGTAGTCGTTTGGAGGGGGGGGGGGGGAAACCAGACCCCCCCCCCTCCCCTACTTTTTCTCTCTCCCTCTCGGGCTGGCGCCAGCGTCGGCGGCGGCTGGCGGCGGCGGCGGGGGTGCTGGTGGTGGTGGTAGTGGCGGTGGTGGGTGTGGTGAGGTGGTTTGTGGTGGTTGTGGTGGTGGTGGTGGTGGGTTGTGCTGCTGGTAGTAGTGGTGGTGGTTGTGACACTAATTATATAATAGATTATAATGATGGTGGTGGTGGTAGTGGTGGTGGGTTGTCGTGTTGGTTGTGGTGGTGGTGGTGAGCTGCTGTGGTGGTGGTGGTGGCTGTGGCTGTGGTGGTTGTGCGGTGGTTTGGTTGTGGTGGTGGTGGGTTGAGGTGGTGATGGTGGTGGTCGTGGTGGTGGTGGTCGTGGTGGTGGTGGTGGCGTGGTGGTTTGTGGTGGTGGTGGTGGGCTGTGGTGTTGGTGGTGGCTGTGCTGCTGGTAGTGGTGCTGGTGGTGGTGGTGGGTGGTGGGTGGTGGGTGGTGGGTGGTGGGTGGTGGGTGGTGGGTGGTGGGTGGTGGGTGGTGGGTGGTGGGTGGTGGGTGGTGGGTGGTGGTGGTGGTGGTGGTGGTGGTGGTGGTGGTGGTGTGGTGGTGTGGTGGTGGTGGTGGTGGTGGTGGTGGTGGTGGTGTGGTGGTTTGTGGTGGTGGTGTTGGTGGTGGGTTGTGGTGATGATGGTGGTTGTGGCTGTGGTGGTGGTGGTGGCAATGATGTGGTGGTTTGTGGTGGGTTGTGGTGGTGCTGGTGGTGGTGGTGGCTTTTTTTTGTGGTGGTGGTGAGGTGGTTTGTGGTGATGGTGGTGTGGTTGTGGTGATGGTGTGTTGTGGTGGTTGGTGGTGGCGGTGGTGGTGGTATGGTGGTCTGTGGTGGTGGTGGTGGTAGTGGTGGTGGTGGTGTGGCCTTCGGCTCTTCCCACCACTGTGTTTTGGCAAAGTGTCAGAGTTCTAATGGGTGCCTCTTGAGGTCTCCTCAAAAGGGTCTCGGGGGCGTCTGAGGAGCATGCGAGGGCTCGATATGGCGATTTGTGTGTGTTCCCTCTGCCGCATCTGGGCCCTCTCTGATCATCGTCGCTGCGTCCCCGCCGTCGGCGCTGCTGGCCGCCGCCAGCGCCGGCGCCGGCGCTGGCGCGGGAGGGGGGGCTCCTGGGCCCTTTCTGGTCATCGTCGCTGCGTTGGCGCTGCGGCGGCCGCCAGCGCCAGCGCCGGCGCCGGGGGGGAGGGTTTGGACCCCCCCCCTTTGGAAGGAGGGGTGGGGGTCTGGAGGGGGGGGGGCAGGGGGGAGGGGAGTCCCCCTGGTTCTGATCGACGGCGCCGAGTGTTGGGGGAGGGCCCCCCCCCAGTTCGAAACGCGCCGCCGAATGTTCCCAAGGCAAGCGCCCGTGGAACGCGCTCTTTCCGACACAAACTACTCGGACCCCGTCTAGGAGGCCTCTGGATCTGGGCTTCTTCGGGTCGTGCTGGGGGTCCTCTTGTGGCCCGCCGTCTGCTGGAGCACCAACAGCAAGGGGAACCGGGCAGAAACCGGCACTTGCAGTGCGAGTGGAGGACGGGTGACGAGGTTGAGGAGGGCTGCCTCCGGGGCGGGAGGAGGAGGAGGAGAAAAAGGGGGAGGAGGGGGAGGAAGAAGACCACAGGCCAGCCTACTCAGCTGTTCGCTCTCTCAGCATACCTTACCTAGTCCGACACAAGCGGCACAGTCCTTATATAAGGCTGCGGCTACATCCTCTGAAGAGGACAGCCGACTACATCATGGCAGCCCCTACCCTGTGGCGCCCGAGCGCGACGTTTTCCTACGCACCATTGCCTAGACCGCCCCCCAAAAAAACGGCACCATCCTTTTTTTACATGGCTAGGGCGACACCCATAGCCAGCCAATAGTCGTCTCGCCAGGATACTCTTGCTTACCGAAAGTATTTATTGGCGGATCATGGGTGTGGGGCGGGCGAGGTGTGTGGTGGCGACGAGGAGAAATATTCGTACCTGGCTGATCAGACTGCGCAGTGTTTCTCGCAGCTGACAAGCTATTGGCTCCAGTGAGTCGCAATGTTGGCACGTCAGTAGGGGAATGACCTCTCATTCCCACTGTGGACTAGTGACCACACCCAGTCCAGCAATCTTCGGCAATGCTAGCCGCTGCGTCGACAACACTCGCTCCAACTATCGCTTGCGTTTACATCGCCTGTGCGATGCGACTGATTACTTGCCAGTGCTGGTTCCGCAGCAAGTACGTATCCTGCAATGTTGGGCTCATATTTTTGTTTTTTTTTCCCAACCATACTGTGGTGTTGGGCCCTCGTTTTGAAGAGACAGCGCCCCGCGTCTTCCTCCTCCTCCCTCTGTCCACGCCCTCCCCCTCTCATCATCGTCATCGTCATCGTCATCATCATCATCATCATCATCATCATCATCATCATCATCATCATCTTCATCATCATCATCATCATCATCATCATCACCATCATCATGGGGCAGGGCAGCGCTGGCGACCCTGAGCCCTTGCGCCGCATGCGCAGGCGTATGGACCGCTAGTCAGCCTTGCTTATCTTGGGCCAGAACCATGTGCGTAGGTACGTTGACGCACGGGATCGGGCCCGATGCCGATGGCAATGCAACAAGTCCTAGCGTGAGGCATAGGCCATCTGGATAGTTGCGCTGCTGTCGGCTAGTTCGTTTCGACGTTGCTCGCAGTTTGCTGCTCACGTGTGCATG